TTAGTATGATAAATAAAATCTTGTTTAATATTTTCTTCCAATAAGTTTGTTTGCCAATATCTATGTAAGTATAAATGATAGAACACTACTACTATGACTTACGATACGATTATATCTATTGGTAAATATAATTCGAAGTGTAATATATATGCACGTGAGTGTGTGTGACTGTATACAAGGCTGTAGGTTTATGAGTTATATAACATCGAAGGGGCAATATGCGTGCTTGCAACCATCACGAATTCTAAACATTTTGCGTAACTTTACAATTTTTCAAAGCTTTGTTGTTGTTGCTGTTGTTGCTGGTCGAAACCACGTCAGTACTACTAGCACTACTACTTTGTTTGATTATTTTCTGTTTTGTGCATTCTTTTGCCTTTTGAAAAAAATTTCTCAGCTATATAGTTGTTAGTCAAGTCTGTTTTTTTTTTTGTATTTTTTTTTTGTATTTTTTTTTTGTATTTTTTTTGTATTTTTTTTGTATTTTTCCTTTTTTTTTCACATACAACCTTTGATAAAAGCGAAGCGGCGAGGGGCAAGATAAACGGTAGTTGTGCAACAATTTCGAGTGTTTGGCACTATTTGGCACCCTGTCAACAATCTAAACACAACAGAATACCAGAATAGAAAAAGTAACTGAAGCATACAATTTAACCGACTTTAAACTGAAAACTATTTACGGGCAGCATTCTCGTACGATAACAATACAATGCTGTCTGACTAGCACCAATTATCACTTGCAGCATCGCTACCATTAGCACACCACAACGTTATACACAACTGCCACTTCTATCTGGTAACAATACGTGTATACACAAATTCTTAAATGCATACATACATCTTTCAATCTCATATACACGTACACGCGAAGTCGTGTAGCATTTGAAATGGTGTAAATATTTTTTTGAAATGCTTTTCTTCTTTTCATTTTTTTTTTGTTTTTTTTTTTTGTTTTTTTCTTCCACGCAAAGAAAAGGTTGCAAGTGTATTAACCTAAAAGGAAAGAAAACGAAAACAAATTAGTTATTATTTACAGTGAACGTTGAATGTCTATCACATAACCGTAGACGTTCGGTGTTAGTACGTCCCTTTGTCAATTGCAATTGGGTCTTGCTAGTTGTATGCGTGTGTATGTGTGTATGAATGAAAAAAAAAAAAAAAAAAAAAAAGAAGAGAAATATCGATGTAGGACGATTTAATAATGCGTTCAAATTAATTGTAAGCACATTTGCGGAATGATGCCGCGCTTTTACGCGCCTTTCTCCTTTTAACGAAAACAAAAAATCTTTAAAGCGTTCACTCTTATCGAAAAATTCAAGATTGTTTAATCGTCTCATTCGGCTTACTACCGAAGAATTCGTTACATTACATCATTCGTTTGTAGTTGAAATGCTTTTGACAATAACAAAATTAAAGTCGTGACAAGTCCTCGTTTGCATTAAATTAAATTTCCACAAAATTTAAAACCCCACACATTGTGTGCTAAACACAGCTAACAGCTGCATATCAAGGCGTCTGTATGCCGTATCATTCGCTATCACTGTTCAGTCTCTTATCAAATACTTTTAAAAAACATTTCCAATTACAAAGGCTTGTCTTAGTCTCGAAGTGTGGAAATCATTTCCATTTACATTTTAGTCGAAGAAAATTTAATGCAAATTCCTTGCTTAATGTATTCACTCGGTCGAAAGAACAAAAAAAAAAAAAAAAAAAAAAAAAAAAAAAATGTTGAACTTCATTTATTATGCGTAACAATCAGTTCTACGCATTGAAATTGTTTGCTTTATGAGAAATAAGTGTCGCGTGTATTTGTTCCGAAACTCCATGTATACATAGCTTAGACATTGGTCTTTATACGGTATAGCTACTCAGTTGTGTATACAAGCAGTCACTCCATATATGTGTATATGTCAAAGAGTAAGGATATGGATGTATAGCAGCAGCAGCAGCAGCAGCATATGCTTCATATTCCCGCTTAACAAAGATTTCCTAGGCTCATCCATAGTTCCATTCTATTCAAGTCAGAAAAATTAGATCATATCCAGTCGAGAAAATTGATGGATAACACTGCACACATATCCGATAATATTGTACGAATTTTGTTGGTTTATTTCACAAGGCGAACTCGACTCGACTAAGGTTCAAAGAGACGGCACCAGAACGAAAACGAGAACGAGAACGAGAACAAGAACTAGAAGCTACTACAGCGTTGTAAATAAAAGTTTCTGTAAATAATTTGTAAACAGATCTCTTAAAAATTGTAAATAGAATATGCATAAAGCAGCGTAAACTTCATAAAAGACGGTTTATGTTACAATATTATTTATCTAAATTTTAGTTGAAAAAATTTATTATTTATCATTACACTTTCTATCTATTTTTGTATATATATCGAAAACTCTTAATGATATTTATCAATTTATATGTAAATTACTTATAAATAGAGTCAGTTGATATCAATACACAGCCGTTTGTTGTGTTTCAGAAGACACATCAACAACATTTTGCAAATAATATTTTGGGAAAAACATTTCGATGGCAGGCAGCGTACGCTTTTGAAAATATTTATTTAATAAAATGAATGAAATGTCATTTATAATGATAATTTACAATATTATTTTCTACTCATTAACAGCACACAGAAGGCATTACGCCTCATTGCATATCTATCTGTCTGCGTTTTGCAAATTTATATTCATTTACATACGTAAAAGGAAATATTGATTAGCGAGACTCAATTCAATTGATAGTTTCACAATTTCCTTACAAACACATCGTTCCCTTTAACGTTTATTGGAATGAGTTAACCACCATCCCGCCGATTTCCGAGAATGTTAAGATTACAAAACAACGAACGAAGATAACATGAATGTGATTGCAGTCATTCCTACGAAAAGTACTTTTCGGAGGGGGGGTAAAAACGAATTTGAACAATACTTTTTAGCCACGATCTTTACCTTCATATGAAAAAATTTAGCCGATTACTAGCCCACTACTTTGTTTCCTTTTGCAGGCATTTAAATAAAAAAAAAAATATAAAAAAAAAATATCCGGACTTTCCGCGAAAAAATACTTACCTAGAATGGATGCTTGAAGTGCTGTCAAGTGCTGCATCAATCAAATAGAAATAATTTGGAAGAAGAGCTTTTTAGTTTTCCTCTTAGTTTTTCTAGTTTACTATCTGATTGCTTTTCGTAAAATAGCTTGAGTCAGCACAAGTCAGTCTAAGAGGAATAGAGCATTAAATCGCTGCCTCAACTTATCGATCAATTGCTTATACCTTTCTGAGTAACATAAACTATTTTGTAGGATGACTATTGCCTACCATTTCTTAAACGTATAATGTAAATTGTGTTCATGTATCTTGTGAGAACATCGATTTATTCGCGCAAGACCCTAGACCAATACGCTCACCAATACGATTATTTAGAAATTTTCGTTATAAAAAATCGCATCATGTTCCCACATAAACGCTCACTTTTGATCAGAATCTGTATATAAACCCAAAAATTCAATCAATCGATCCTGTGTAAATGTATTAAAGTTAATTTTTCCAAAGAATGCACCCATTATTCCTCATTGCTATTCGCCGTATGATACCAAAGATTAGAGCTTGTTGTCATACGAAAACGTAATTTTTGTAAGGTGAAAAGCTACGGCCTGCGCTAGTAAATACGAAGTGCGGCATCCTATTGGCATACCTGAATTAAATTCCCAGTGCGATACAGATGGGATACATATATAGCTTCCAACGTTTGGCCTTACTCATACCTTCTTTGCCCGCTTCTTTCTAACCATCACCCTACTTATATAGGCCTAGTCGATATGCCCTTAGTGACGGATGAGTCATATATTTAGAAAACAAAAAGGAAAAATAATTTAATACTCATCCCCATTATGGAAGTTGAATATATTCGCAAAATCTTAATATAGCCTATCACAGCTTGTGTAAAAGATATAATCATAACGTATACAGCTATCATTAAAGTATTAAATTACATATTGTACAAGAAGAAGAAGAAGAAAACTTGAAAAAAAAAAAAAAAAAAATTAAAAAACATTTCCTGCTTATCTTCGTAAAATGTTTTCAAGCAACGTCCCCACACCGTGGTGCGTTCTCCTATATATTCGATTAAATTCATCACCAGGTACCCAATATTGCCTCTTTGGATGCCGCTCAAGCATATGTAAGTCCTTAATATCTTTAGCAAACAAACAGGTTTACTTGGTAGAAAAATAACTTTTTTTAATTTTCAAGGTTGCGTTGCAAGCTTGTCTAGGGGTTTTCAAGTGGTTTTCAAGCAATTTGAACCTTATATGTTGTATGACTAACAATGCTAGAATTTTCCGAAGTTTCGATTAAACGATACCGCTGTTGATTTTTACCGTATATCTTGTATCAAATCTGTTCAGTTTAGATTAAATGTATCTTAAAGTTGTAGTTGTTTGTAGTGAAAATGACTTTCATCCAATAAAAGTGATTGTGGCATCGGACTAAGCTCGTGATCCGTCGGCATAGCATCAATAGGGTTTCCTAATTTAAAGGAAAATCTATCCAATAACTTAAAAACCCATAAGAAAATGCCATCTTTTAGCTACAAGCAACAGAAGCAGTCGATTAGGTCACTTTTATCGATAACATATCGTTGCGCGGATAGCTTTCTATTCTTTCTATGACTTTCACGGCAAAGTCATTAATTATTTGCTACTTTGTTATATAAAACAGCAATAAGTGTGGCGCCTTCTTCGATTGGCCAACTTAGTAGAGTTTCCATAATCGTTGCTGCTTTTTTCGGGACGATAGCGAATACGGATCGCTCAAGGAATGTATAAAAATAAATTTTTCTTCTGCTCTACAATTTATTTCTTATTTTTAATGCTTCTAGTAATAGTTATATTAATAAAATTAAACTTAAACTTAACTTAAAACGACTTGGCACCGTTCATTCTTCTTCTTCTTGTCAAGATCTTTTGCATTGACTACATTTATTATTATAGTATGTCATAGGACACACCTACAGTACTACGTAAACTGAGAACATCGCTGCTTCGAAAAGTAAAGACGAGACACACTACAACAAGTATAAGGAAAAAAATGTCTACGCATGCCCACGCATCTATACGTTATCCTAAAGATACCAAAAATTATACAAAAATGGAAAAAACTGACCACGCACACACAATGCTATGCAATATCAAAATTTTATTTTTCCTTTTTGTTTTTAAGAAAAAGGTTTTTGGGATTAATAGATTCGGCCACAACCAAATGTAATTTTCTTACTTGTTTTTAACTTTTTTTTTTTTTTGTTATTATTAACTACTGTTCTCTCTCTTATTCAAAACTATGGCGTTTTGTTTAGATTCTCGACTTAGATCCTTATCACCCCAACCCCAAATCGCGTGCGTACCGTCACCCGTACGTTTTACTCGTCTTTCAATCATTTCTGGAGATACAGTTTTAAGGTCATACGCCCATCCTATCTTAGCGAAAAATTCGATAAACGCGGCAGCTAAATTTAAGGAAGAACCGCCCCATTCGGCAGCCCTATAGTCCCATGGAAAGGCATGATGATAATTGTGCCAACCCTCGCCGAGACATACAATTGATACTCCAACAGTTTGGGTAGGATTAATGTTCCTGTTATTAAATGAATGTTGCTGAATCAATGCACTTTGACTGACAATCATTAATTATTATACACTACTCACTTATCATAGGGTCGTGTACCAAACATATGGGCGACACTATTTATCGACCACTGAGCATTTAAGACAATAGCCAATCGCAGCACAACGGCTACACAGAAAGTGTTAATGAAACTCTCATTCCACATATACATGGGTATAATCGTAGGCAATACGAAACCAAGTAATGTCACCAATTTAAAATAGTACCTGCAAGGGTTAATAATTTATATGATTTACTTGTGTTATTGTAATAATAGTAATAATTTACTTGTGTTCAAACATAAGTATACGATCCGCGTATAGATCGGACAAATCGAGACTTTTACCTTTGGCGACAACATTCGAAGGCTTCTCAATTAAAAGCCAACCCACGTGTGCAAAGAAAAAGCCACGCGAGGAATTATGCGGATCGTCATCGGTATCAGCATATTTGTGATGTACGCGATGATCACGAGCCCAATGAAAACAACTAAAATGAAAGGTGGTTAAGTTAAAAAAAACTAAAAGCGCGCGTAACGGCCATTTTGCTTTATATGAGCGATGACTCCATAATCTATGAGCGCCTGCAGTAGCCGCTACAGTTCCCATCCAATACAAGATAATCGCTACAATTGCGAAAATTTTTAAAAAAATAAATTAGCCAAGCAATAGTTTCAAAAGCTGTTTACACCTACTGAACAATCGCGTGGGCCATTTGGCGTGAAAGAAAAATAGATAGACACCGTACAAACCGACCAAATGCACAAGAGAGAGTAGTATTATATTGCGCCAGACTAATTTAAATTCGCGTTTTTCCGCTTTTTTCAATTGTGATATATCGGCGGACAAGGCACCATCGGCTGTATCGGCGTCACTTTCAAATAAAACTCCAGTTACTGAACTGTTCGCTGGCGAACTTTCCCGGAGCGACATGACTTCTATCTATTTACTCTGCGAAAATTTTTTTATAGATTATTTGGATAAGAGAAAAACGAAAAAAAAAAAAAGAAGAAAAATCGAAAAAAATTATTAATGCAAGTGTTCTTACACCCATCACCGCAGGAACGAGCTATATTCAGTCTTGCAATATGTTTGCAAAATCCAAAAGGAATATTCACAAATGCTATAAAGTACATATATTCTTAGTCAGTATTAAGTCGTGAAACAACAGACATATGAAAATCACTTGAAACTGTTTTTTTTTTCGCTTAAAAGACGGAAAAAGTTTTGCAATGATGTCGTAATGGTAATGTATTTACCCACAAAAATTGGCAAAGAGCTCATCGATCAAAACAGAACAACTGAACTGATTTGTAAAAGATGCGTTGACTATGAAGAAAATATTTGCCTGACTTTTCACACGACCAGGATTCCCAATAATTCCCAAATATTATCGCCAAACAGTTTAATATAAGCCGAATGTAAATAACATCGGTCCACCGAGTTACTTAAATAGGATAGTGAAAATGTTTATTATTTTATTCACCCAGTTATGCTGATATAAACAGTTGATCGATACTTTCACTAGTTTAGGCTTTAATGTTGGACGTTAACACGCGACTATTCTTCGCAATACTTTGCCATTACATATGTTAAGCCCTTATATTTATAATATTTTCCACTATTCTATTATTCGTTTCTCCCGATTATAGGCACTCTATTAACACTTGAATAATTCATTATTAGTTTTTAATTTATAGTAAAACATCGTAAATAATACTTTCACTCTTGTATATTTTACGGAAATTATTGCCGTTCTCGCCGAAATATAAGGTCCTGACAGTGCTTATAAGTCTTACTTACTTTATTCCAAACGAAGTGAAACGAAGTGGATTTCATTTGAGCTCAGCTGAAAAAGAAAAAGCATGAAAATGTTCAAAACTGTGCAGGAAACCTATTTTCAAGTACGGAATACTTTTCGAAGCCACACATGTGAACGGAATGTTCGAAGGTTTTAAACCAATAGCATCTTGAATCGGGCGGGCCACGTAGGATTAAAAGTAGGCTGCGACTTTTTCTCCAAACCATGTTTTCGCAAGGTTGCCTCATCGCTTTCTGCTTCAATTTTTATCCGTTTGTCCTCCGATTAGCGTTCAACTGGATTTTTCGATTTTTTCAAAAGTGACAATAAATAAACAAATTAGTTGACTGCATTTTTCTTCTATACAAATAAATATTTAAAAGAAAATGCAATCCCGATATTTATTTTAGGTTTTAAGTCGTAGGTATGTTCAGAATATTTTGGATTTCTTCTTCCAGATGAAGGATTGCGACCTACAGCGGTACGGTGAGTGGGGTCATATAGAGAAATCTTAAATATATCTGCAATCATATCCCTCTTCTTCTTTGAAATTCAAAGGCAGGATAAGTCTTTTTCGGTTTTTTTTATAATTGTGTTATTTTAAAGAGATGTGGAAGACGCCGCAGTCTTAGTGGACTCGGTAAGTGTTAGCCGTTCACCGATTAAACGGTTGCTATATCTACGATTCCAAAGTAAATTCTATCGCACTTGGATGTGAACTCGCAAACACTGACAGGGTAGTTGCGATTCTTACGTACTCAGCGCTAAATCTTTTAATTTTTCCTTTTTTCATTCATTTTTAATGCGCACAGAATAATGTCACCCTTTACTAAGGCAATGATTCTTCAATAATATTACGTTGATATTAAAATCGGTTAAGCACATAAATATCGTATTCCCGATTTATATCAACCTAAGGCACTTTTAAAGTAAACGGTTCCCTGAAGAAGGGACTGCCGTTTGTTGTTTGTAGCCTGCACAATAAAGTAAGAATATAAAATTTTCATCAAATGTTATAATTATCATTAATATTGTTATTAATTAATTATTACCATAGTTATATACAAACATGCGAATATGAACTCAAGACTTTCTTATTGTTGACGGTGGTGTGGATTGTTGGGTAAATGTCATCATAATATATTTAATAAAAGTTTAAATCGCCGCATTTTAGAGACGTCTACAAGAAAGGGGGTAACAATAACAACAACACCAACAACAACAACAACGGCTATATTCAATGCTTAAAAATAGTTCTGGGAAAACCTTTGTGCATATGCTTCTGAATGGAAATAATGAATGGATTTGCTATTCGCTGTCATGTGAATGAATAATTTTAGCATTATTTAATTTGTAAATATTCACATATACCGGTGACCGATTACATGATCAGCATGATAAACGGAATAGTTCTAGTTTTGTCTGTATGTGTACCTGTTGAACTAAACCTAATAAATTCAAGGAAAGTAATTTGAAAAATTTGCTCATAAAAGCCCAAAGGTAACGAATGCGAGCAAACCAAATGATAGGTGAAAAAATTTGTTCCCTCTTCCCTTTTTTCTTCAAGATTTCCTTTCTTTACATCAAAAAAGTTGATCCTACATTGATCTAGGGATAAGGGAGAGAATAATTGTATGCCAAAGATTTACAATAAAAAAAAAAAAAAAAAATAAAACAAAGAATATTTCGTCTTTGATCTCGCGAGAGACTTTCCAAGAAGTATATAATGATCAGGAGTAGAGTTATCGTTGCTTTTCGTCGAATTACTCAAGCGACTCAAGATTGTATGAAAGAAAAGGAAAAATATTACATTGATGAGCAGTTTATGTAGACTTATTAGCATCTGTCTTAGTCTAAAGATCTTCTTTTGTTTTTTGTTTTTATTTTTTTTTTTGTGGAAATCATTTCGCTTTTGCTTTTATTCCAAATTTCTCCTTGCTCTGCCATCCCTTCCAACGATCTTAATTAGTGAAATAATTTTTCGAAAATTTTGAATCAATTTTGAAGCACTGCACCTTGGAAAGGGAATCGCAGGTTTATGATCGCGCAAAAATGTGCTTAACATTGTCGATACGCAAATAGAAGGTACTGTACTTATGCGTTAATATCTTCAAGGCCAGGCTGTCTTGTACAAATTTTTTAATAGCATTGCCCAGCATTCTTGGCATTTTTGAACCATTTCTCCGGTAGTCGCTGCCTGGAGAGCGCGATTACTGCAAGTGAATATTCTTTCGCAATTCTTTTCTCAAAATTTCGATGTGATTCCTGTCTCTATTAGATAAAAGGTACTACACGCGGTTTGCTTGTTCATTAAACATTTTAAAGTTAATTAATTAAATTATTTATATACACATGTATATATATATATATATATATATGAAAAGGATTTGGCTGAAAATGTTAAAAAAAAAAAAAACATCAGGAATTTTTGTTGTTTTTCCTTTTTTGTGTTATATTTGTTTTGTTTTTTTTTTTTTTATGTTTTCGTTGTCTTCTTTTTTTATATACCAAACGGCAGACATTTTTGAGGTCAAGATATAAAAGCAGTAACAATAGAGTAAAAGAAATACAAAAAAAAAAAAAAAAAAAAGAATTAAAATAAACAACTCAGACCTACTTGTGAATTTTAATGGAACAACATTAACAATAGGTTAACTGAATACAACCAGACACACAGAGTAACCAAAGTAAAAAAGGGTCTTTTTACGCTCTTCCATAAGAAAGATAAAAAAAAAAAAAACACAACATAGTTGGGGCAAATGTATATATATATATATATATATATATTCATGTATGGGTGTATATAGTAGTATGTATATAGAAGATTTCGTTGTTTGTATACTCGAAATTATCAACGCAAACAATAAATGAAAAGTGTTTTTTTTTTTTTTTTTTTTTTGTCTTCCTTTGTGTAAACTCTCAGTTCACCACTTTAGTTTTATTTGTGTAGCATGCTTTAAGGGAGATAAACCGAACGACTGAATTACCAAGTGTATATATACAATATTATATATCGGTTGTAATTTGTTAATGGCGTACAAGCTTAAAATGAATGGTGGCGGTGGTGATGGCGGTCAAAAATTCTTTGAATTTTGTGGTCAAAGTGTAATAACACAATAACACAAAAAAAAAAGGGAAGAAGAAAAACAAAAAACCAAAATAAAACATAAATATTGTGTAACTAGTTTAACTGGTTTATTTTTCTTTTCCTTTATTTATTTATTTTTATTTATTTATTTTTTTTTTTTTTTATTTTTTTTTGTTTTTGAAATACTTAAGAAATTAATTTTTTTTTCATTTTAACAGTAGCTCTTACACGGGCTGCTAATATTCCTATCCTAATTATTCGCTCAGTGCGCTGTAACTCAATATATGCAAGACTTCCTTGCCTCTCTGCGGCATTTTGCTATCGCGTAACTAAATGAAAACATTTGTGCAAACAAAAAAAGAAAGAAAAGGTTCAAAAAGCAAACATATATTTAAATAATAATAAAAATAGCATTTTTTCATTTTTATTCCATGCCTTAACAATAGCTACAGAAAGAAATAATATTCGACTTCTATCAAAGTCTAGTTCCTCATGTTTATACAGGTCGGTATATCGTCGGTGTATTGCAAACATTAATGCATCCACAAGTCTAATGCATCCTAAAATGAAGATGACTGCACTTAACAGATACTATAGATATATATATGACTTACAAAATGAATTCTTTCTCGGATCTTCTAAGGACGAACGTTACTTTATTTGCGAATATTGACCAAACTATGGCTTCTCCATCTTAGCAGTTAGTATCTCCAGTCGTTACATAACAGTATAACTTATGCCGTTCAGTAGATATTATGCACATAACTTACTTTCTTGGCACTGCGTGAAGAAGAAGAAATTCGATGTTGAGAAAAGTCTGAATTGTTCGATCACTTGTTTCATTCGAAGGAATATGCTCCTGCTACCCGATGACAGGTGACAAATTACTAAAGTATTACAATCCGTATGCAGCTATAATGCAAACTTGTCGAAATTTTAAGCCACAAATGGGTGATGTCACTCATTTAGGAGGAACGGATGTATTGCGATGTATTTGAAGTTGCATCAGTCAAGCAAAAGCATAATCAAATTAAACCGACAAAACAGGCGCAATATGCCAAAACTCTGCATGGACAGACGAGTAAATAAGAATCGCCACTGCCAAGGCAATGTTGGCAAGCTATTCAATTTCACTATGGTAGACCATTATTGGTCTTAGCTAAGTCGATAAGAGCATAACACTTGCCGATTGGACCCGCACAGCTCAAGCATTTTATGGCTTCGGAGTACGACTGATCTTGTTGTTTGCTTGAATGGTGCTTCGATTATTACAACGATATTCGAAAAGTCGAACTCTCTGTAAGCAGTTCCGGTACATTCAATAAAATCTTTTTGATAAAAAAAAAAAAAAAAAAAAAAAAAAAAAACATTATTTTGTTGTCTTGCCTCTCAGTCCTTTATGCAATTCTCTTGTTTGTTGTACAAGTCTTCTTTTTGAAAACATGTTTTCATCTTCATTTGTAAAGTATCGTAAAGGGGAAGAAGCAATTAATAGGCGAAAAGGCGAAATCTAAACAACGAAAATGTGTGGCTTTACTTCTACTCCATATTTCGATATATAAACGTTTAAAAATCTGTATGAAAATATGTAAATTTTTACAAAAAAAAAGTAAAGCTAAAAAGTACTTAAAGGAAAAGTTAATATTACTTCGAAAGCCCAGCAAAGGTTTGTCGCATTGATTTTCAAGCTTCTCTCCCCCTCCCATTGGAACTATCCTTTTTTTCACTATGTCGAGCTCAATCGCTTGAACAGTTGTCCAGTAAAATCCTCTCGTTAAACATGCATCGCCATGTCAAAGTCCGCCCAAAATTTCGCTTATCTCTTGCATACCCTTTTTGATCCTAGGTAGCTTTATTACGAAAATTCAACTTCCCCAACTTGAAAAATCATACAAAATTGCATCGCAACGTACCCGGTAGGGTGATATCGTACCGTTGTGTGTAGACAACTTGAATTTAAAAAAAAATATATATATATATATATATATATTTATATAAATATATATATATATATATATATATATATATATTTATATAAATATATATACTGAACGCATCCGAAGTAAACATAAAAAAATTTGCCGAATTTTAATCGCGCAGCCTTATGTATAGCATATGTTTAAGTGCGAACCGTCTATGCCGGCCCGGATTGTTTGTAATCTAGTTTGTCAACAACATAATTTCAATATCCGTGAACGCTAGTCCTCTGTTAATTCTGCGGAGACACCAATCCTCTGTTAGATCGTATGAGACACCAGTCCGCTGTTCAATCTTATAAGATACCAGTTCTCAGTTACTGTTTGTAAGATGGAAACCTGTTAGTCCCGTGTTGCTTTTTCTGAGACACCAGTCGTCTGTTAGTTTTCTTAAAGACATTAATCCCTTTCTTTTTGTGACTTGCGAGCATCCGAGACCCAACCCAATGAAACAGTTTGGAATTATTGCTAAGTAAAATCATCGCAGATTTTCTTCTAAATGCCATACCGAACTTGTGTCAATCGTGAAATACGTTAGCTTAAAGTACATTTATCAAGAACTTGGGAACTTAGGGGATTCTAAAGTGTCTTAGATGTGGATTCTTTCCACAGAGTTCCTTTGCACAGAGTATAGCCGTGAACTTAGTCTTGGTTGAGAGCGAGCGATGCTCATTAAATCAACTAACGCATTATCGTTTAAAAAAAGGGCAGAGCGTAAAAAATGTTTTGTTTTTCTTTCATATAAACAGCTAAGGAAACTTTGTTTCGCGTCTATCCTAATTAAATATTAATTCCCGGTCAAGCCACAGTATTAGTGTCTTTAAGGTTTGCTAAGAATGAAAAGGACTTGGAAACTTAAATTTAACCATAGAAATATTAGTTAATTAACTCTGTTAGCTTGTCTCATGTCTCTTTTTGCACATTTATTGTAACTTACAATGAAACAATTACGACAAGAGACAAACGAACAGACTTGCATTGCATTTCATTCACAAATAATATAAGAATTCAGGAAATACTAAAAACATATAACAAAAGAATTCACAGACAAATACATACGTATACTTTAAATGAATGACAAAAATTTCATAAATGAAAAGACGGAACAGAGAGAGAAAAAAAAAAAAACAAAAAGAAGGAAAAATTATTATTACATTTTGAGTAATGAATAGCGAAGCAAGAAGAGAAGAAGAAATGGCGAAAAACTGCCATTAGGTGAAACCCTGCAGTTGTGGTAGTGACTTGATCCCTTCGTTGTTTTTTGTTATATTGTCTTTCGTTTTTCCCTTTTATTTATTTATTTATTTTTATTTTTTTTTTTTCTTCTTCTTCTTTAAAAACTCTTCTACTCTTCACCAACCCAAAGCACATGTGCAGATTTGTAACAGATTTTCAGTGTATTATTTAACCATTTGCAGGTTTTTTTGCTTTGTGTGTTGTTTTCGTTACTTTTCCACTTTTTTTTTTTTTTTCTTCTTTTTTTTCTATTTCATTCAATCTCCGATTTCATGCATTACGTATTCATCTCTGCCATCGTGTTCTGGGTTGTCTCCGACTTTAGACTTCATCTCATTTTTATAAACGTTATCGTATCGGAAGTTATACTAACATTTTCATTCCGCCTGTAACAGCCGGAATTACGTCTGTCCTTACGTCGATCTTTATCTTGTCACAATTCTTACTGCAACAAAAACATAACATATCACCTAATATGCTCATCGAGAGACATATATACATGTTCCCAATATTGACGATTGTGAAAATTTAATTGTTTAGTCTCGAAAATGGACGCAATACTGAATAAAGGTGAATGAAAAACAAAACCAAAAAAAAAAAAGAAAAAAGAAAGAGAAATTTCAATAACTGTAGGCAAATAGTTATTTAAAATGGGAAGCGACCGAAGCTTACGAAAACAAAGCCATCCATCCTGTTGACACGCCCACAACAAACAAAATGATTTGATGCATTTATATTCACATTGCAATGAAAATTGATCGCGTAAAAGTCGCTATAAACCGAAACTCTCTACCTTATTACTTATTACAGTTCGCTTAAAACGTAACAACAATATTAGCAACAAAAAACAAATAAAAAAAATTATATTGGAATATAACCGAATCTCTTCTAATCGCTAGTTTTAACTTGGATCATGTTTTCCCTTACAGTTTATAAGTAGTAAGCAAAAAAAAAAAAAAAAAAAAAAAGAAGAAAAGAATAAACCGCAAAAAGCAGAGATAATCTCAGTTCATATTAGGAGAGGTCCTTTCGCCGAGATGTTGCCCATTTTTAAGATCTTCAAATGCTTATACTAAATTTGAAGTCAATGTGTTAGTTAATCTTTGCGATGCAATGAATATTACACAAGTGAGCACACGGTCTGATGGACAGCATATATGCATTCGGAATTTGTTATATTGATCAAAATTACATATATATATATATATATATATATATATATATATACACTTTATAAAGGCCTATGAAGCCTCGTTGTTGGCGTTTCAAACGTTTTGATAAACGCATAATACCTCCGTACTGCGGTGCTGGTTCGGTTACAAGAAAGAAAAAAAAGAAAAAAGGAAAAAACCGTGAAGCATATGTAATATCATACATACATTACTCGATTTAATTATGAGAATATTGCGGTTGATTAAAGGGCTAAAAACATATCTACGTCATCACATATATACATGGCTAAAATTGTGTTGAAACTTTATATTACAACGCAGAAATATTTAAAAAATATCCTTAAACTAATATCGTCGGAATTTTTCAAGAATTTTGCTGATTTCGTTTTTCGATTTTCTTCGTATCTTTTCAGAAACATTTTCATCGTACATCATTATTAATTAAGGCTTTTAATCATAAGTTTCGCTTAGATTTGGAATTAAACTCGTAAGTATTAACACAACAGTTTACATAAAATTTATTTTACATATAGTTTCAATATATTAATTATGATCGATTTACTTAATTATGTTATCAAATCGATCGATCTATGTATAATGTCGTGTCATCTACTTTCGTTAGCTGAATAGAAAATTTTTATATTTAACTGATCTGTTAAAATTGAATGAAATATACCGAGTCATCCACACATAATGTGGTTTCGAAAGTAAACATGAATACAACCCGCTTCGGATTGAGACTTGAGTCAATTTCTTCTTCGATAGATATATCGTTTGGACCTAATCATTATTCATGGAATATATGATCACTCAAACGATCTTCATGAAATACTTGGAAGGACTTGATCCTTTTGATATAAATTTCGATAACTTTTCTGCATAAAATAACGAACAAAAGCTCGGGCATATCTTGGCGGTTGTTCGCTCTTTGAGAACATCAAGATGAGTTTGAAGATTCTTCGCATAAATTCGATCCTTTGCGCGTATTATCATTTAACGTACAACATATTGCATCCAAATTTTATAGTCATAGTTTAAGAGGAAGACCTCGGTTTTTAGAGTAATTGTTGCTTTACTGCTTTATTTTGATATTTGAACAAAAATGATGAGACGAAAGCTGGGGAAAGGCGGTTTTAAATCGACAGCACGGTAATCGTGATGATCAGGTGTCTTTTAAATTTTTACATCCATTATATAAGCACTCGACAATCTAATATACGCAAATTATTTTAAAACCAATTATTTTATGGTCACTGTATAATTGAGAAATTTTCCGTTCATTCTTAGCCGAAGTGCATAGCACTTTGTCAAGGACATCTTAAATTGATAAAATCATTACAAGTCGAACGAATAAAAATTCCCTTTGAAAGTTCATATGAATTTACATATATCCAAGTTACATATATCGAACGTACTAACTAAGCATGTTTTACTTTTCATCTCGTGCATCTATGTGATTGCACGCTTAAAACTTTGTTTAAGAAATTCAGAGTAATCTGTCATTTCACTTTCATTAGGTTAAGTTAAGCAAAATATTAAAGATCTGCACGTTTCGAGAACACATTCCTCCGCTCCCTCTTCGATACATACGAGGCAATCCGTAAGAGACAACTGTATTTCGGACGAAACTGCAGCTAGTCCCCACTTTCCATCGTATGCCCATGTTTTTTGTCTGCCTTGTTTATGGCTCCTAAACGTGCAGCGTGGTAACGGTCGGGAAGAAGAGACAAAAGACATAGGCGTAGTTAGGTAGCGGCCACAATCTAGCGGTTATTGCGTGCCCTACGCAGAAGTGTTATGCCTTTACCGACTATGCACTCACCATAGGTACGATAGAGAATGCCCTACCGGACTGAGATTAAATTCCGACACATATTAACTTGGTAGTCGCAAAACTCATTCGATTAACTACTCATACCTATTAGATGGAAAATGGTAAGTTTTTGTGGTCTCTAAGAACAGTGTTTTTGCATACAAATATAAGGGAAACATATTTCCTTCTATGCAGACAAAAGGGTTTCCAAGTCATTGTCACGCCAAAGAATGAAAAATATTTAGAAATTCATACAATAGAATAGAATCGGTTCAGTAATTTTCGCTTGCTTTTGCAAGCTCACTTGATGTTACACTATAACCATGCCCCTTGACCAATACGGCTCAGTTTCAGTAGGAGTAATTTTCAATGTTTACGCTAAATTTGAAAATCGTATCTTCGTTCAGTGGTGGGGAGAAAGATAAAGTTAGTGAATGCGTGAAGACTCGGACCTAACAACCGGAACCTAATTTCCTTAGTTATTTTCTTCTTTCCCCATTTTGCACTGTTTCTATAGCAAAATGCAATTTATTTATTAAGAAATTTACTTTACTTTACACGGCCTGCGACCCGACTAAACTGATATTCGTTGAGTGAAAAGACAGAAATAAAAGAAGAAAATGAGGAAAAAAAACGTAATATGTGACTTATGTGTCTCTATAGATTAAGGATAATTTACAAATGCTCTCAGATACGAAAAAAAATACTTAACATTGGAAGGACAATACAAACGAACAAAACGAACAAAACACCAAACAAATTACTATATATACTTTAACGATCTAAAAAAAAAAAAAAAAAAAGAAAAAAAAAATAAATAAAAGCAAATCCGTGAAGATGTAATTTTCCACTTTAACAAACATTGAAAAGCTCTACCCTTAACCGAAAAGATGATCTCGTCTCGTCTCATTATTGTATTCACATTAACGCCACCGTCTTTGTCAAGTGCTTTCAACGTACTAATAGGATTCTTTTTATGTTGTTTAATTTTCTACTCAAAGGGAAATGAAAGAAATTTAAGTACGCTCGATGCTCTCAGGTTTTTCTCACCTGCGACGCAAAGTATTTTACAAAAAAATATGTTTAACAAATGGCACAAAACTTGCAAACTGAAAAAATAAATTACTTATTGATTGCAAATGACGTTCGCTATACACAACGACATATTAATACATTATTTGTGTTTTGTCAATTTTTGCCTTCAAAAATGTTTTCTTTTTTTTAACGTTAGCGTTACATTTTACATATTTTTTTTTTTCCTTTTTCTTAGCTGGGATGGGTTATTACGACTTTATGAAAATTCGTATTCGAAACTTTTATATCCGATATCCGAAAGAACGAGACTACGTCATCAATGCCCTCAATTTATGCTTAAGGCCCAGAAAATAACATTAAGTATTCGGCGAATAAGAGAGAGAGATAGAGAGAGAGATAGAGAAAGAGAGAGAGAGAAAGAGAAAGAGAGAGAGAGACAGAGAGAGATAGAGATAGAGAGAGAGAAAGAGAGAGAGAGAGAGAGACAGAGAGAGAGAGAGAGAGAGAGAGATAGAGGGAGACATAAGAAATTCTAGAAGAGAAAATCTATCTTTTTTTATACCTTACACCACTTGCGTGTACCAAGTTTGTCTGTCCGTCTGATGACTGTCGACGTATTGTTGTTGACATCAACCTACCAATGATGAAATTTGATATATTGGCATTTTTTGGCCCCAAGGACGAACACTGTTAAAAATGCATTGAATCGATTCACTTTTTCGATCACTCCCCATATAGCGCCATTATTTGAAAATTGCAATCGCTGAGTAGTATATAGTATTTCGACATTCGAAATTGGTTTAAAAACTTTGCTCCGACTGGGGTAATTTTTAACACTCCATCTCATATAACCGTTCCTACGAAACCTGAATCTTTATGTGGTAAAAATTGTCTAATTTTCATTATTCCCTGATGAGTTTTCCAAAACTTATGTATGCAAATACTAGAATGTATCTATGATACTGTGACGAATTTGTAAAATGCATTCTAAAGCAAAATTGAATTTTTTCAAAGTAATCCATTTAACTGGGATCGTGCATTGAGTTGGGAAGACACATCTTCCGCTTGCCGGTGAAAAACTAACTTGAAAACAGGTGCATAAAAACACTTGAAATCATTTCATCCAGTAATCGCAGAATTTCCAAAATGATGCCACATCTAGCAAAAGGTTATCAATTCAAATAACGTATATGCATTTTAATAAAGTTCATTTTAAATATATATAAAAAACAAAAAAATATATGTCAGAAAAAAAAATGCAAAAAACTTTCCAATACCTAACATATATTATAATATATGCAGAGATATTCGTCAATGGCACTCCTCATCAAATTTACTCTTTGTATATTCCGATTTTTCAATTCATTGGCAACGTGGAATTATGTTTCGTTTATGTTTAAGACAGCGTGATATTACGCATAAAAACAGAATTAAAGATCTTTATGCAAAGCGCTTTACCAATTAATCGCAGCGAAGCACATCACATAATGAATGCATCCAGCCAGTATTCGTTGTTCTTTGTTGCTGTCTCTTTGTATCTTAACATCTGTTTTCGCGTTGAAAAACGCTTCTTCTCTCTGCTTACTATGCACCGTGTAAATCTGCTTGATGAATAAATCCTTGCATGTCTTCTTAAAGCAAAATGATGACATTATTAATTAATTAATAGTAATTTAATGTATTAATTGTATAAAATTACGCCCATATATATATATTTATGCATAAAAAATGATTACCTTTGAACTATCATATACGCCGTCTCCATCTTACCGCTAACATATTACACTAACATATATATATATATGTATATATATATTTTAGCATAAGCATAATTGTTTACAATGGCAACAATTGTGTAAAACAGACCATAGAAATGGATACAAATTCACGTGCAGAGCAAGCAGTGAACAATGTTCATGACATGTATTCAAGCATGCATAGAAGAAGTAGCCTACGTACATTAAATACAAATGGTATGCGTGCGTGCGTGCGTGCGTGCGTGTGTGCGTGCGTGCGTGCATATTTTTGTCGCATATATATTTACAAATTTCATACCGTAAACTTGCTGTAATCATGAAGGTTACTAATAGATTGCAAATGAATAGCACAAATATAAGGGAAGTTTAGCCAATATATATATATACATATATATATATATATATGGTATGTAACTACATATCAAAAGAATGCCTTGTACAGTTAGTAGAAATTTTCAATTAGTTTGAAGACTGTAGTCTCTGTAATGTCAGAACGATTGACGCCCCTAAGATGTTCTGGTAACATTATTATCCTTTGGCAGACCTTTAACCCAAATTGCTTAATACTTCCCGAATACAATAGTGTCGGTAACAGTTGATGTGTAAAATGAACTGATGATGTTTCTGGCAGCAATTTTCGACTAACATTAGAACAATAGTGCAATACGAAGCAAGAGAATATATATGCTTATAGGCTCCCCAGTGCTCAAGAACTCACAGTTGACTGTTGGATTATTATTACACGAGTATAGGGGAGTGTGACAAAGTCACCTTTCCTATATGAAAATGTTCACGGACTCAAACTCATGCTTTTTCGATGCGAACATATTTACGTCCGTACAAGACCAGCTAATATGTTATTATTTGGTATTAATTGCGTAC